CTGTGCTGCAGCTTTGGCTCTCTGTAACGAAGCTATCTGTAAGTAACTCAGCTGCTACGGCTGTGGCATTTTCGACTAACACCACAGTAGGTACTTGTGTTGTCACACAGATGGCCATATGAACAGTTTTTAATGTCTCTTGTGTTCCCAAGCTGAGGCCAGTTAGCTATCCTTGCCCTTGAGATTTCAAAATGTACCTGGTGGTGTCACTGGTTTGTGGACATTTACTGGAACAACCTCAACAGGAAGCCACAGATGAATTCTTCAATTGTGTCGGCTTTTTCCCCCAAAACAAAGTTGGATTTCAGAAATGAGGTTAGCCCACTCTTCCTATAGTCACTGACTAATGAGTAGGAAAACTGAGTGAACTGGCTCTGACTTCCTGGGCCAGTAACTTTTCATTGTAATATTCCATTCTTTTTGTTTCTCCCCTGCCTTCCTGGTATGCAGTACCATGATGTAACAGCAAGGGACTAAGGCTAGGAACTGGTATCTGACTCTTAAGTATGACCCACAAGAAGCTGTCTCTATAAAGACAGATGCAGGTTTGGATACTATTTTTTTTTGCTGTTGGCCATCAGAAAGGGGAGTTGGGAGCAGATTGTGGAGACCAGAGTCAAACAGGTCAGTGAAAAGATAAGAGTAGTAACCTCCAAGCACTAGTTTATCTTCCTGGTTCCTTTTAAGTTTTGTTTTATTTTCTTTAGTGTTTTGTTTGTTTAAATTTGAATTAACATGTTTGGCCTCCATGGCTTCCATGAATGTTCCCTAGAGCCAGAGCCAGTTCTGCGCCCTGGACAGCGCATGCATAGTCCATGCCTTGCATTCCTGCTGCATATTTTGTTTTACCGCCTGTCTGCTTTGTTTTGGTTTAGTTTTTGTTCTTTTATTTTTGTTCGTATTTTGTGTTGTTTCTGCTATATTTTCTTTTGCATTTTAGCTAAACTAAGACTTACCCTGCATGGTGCCAGCTCTAGCACGCACAGCAGAGCCCTAGTCGATAAGAAGTTGCAAATCAGTATTCGAAAAGCACGAAGCCTGCAGGATCGCATGCAGCAGCAACCATCATCGCAGCAGCCGGTGCAGCCCTCAGCCTCTCTCCCACCACAGGGGGGCGCCCTCCCTCAGCTGACAAGGTAGTGCTTGAGAACCACATTAGTTTATGGACATCAGGGGAGGAAGTGATCATGGGTGCTCCGTAGCACGAACTGTTGTCTTCTCTATTACCAGGGAAGAAAGGAAAATACACTGCTAAGATTTTCTTCTCTCAGGTCAGAGATACAAAAGCTCATTACATAGATCGTCCTTTTCTTAATGCTTCCTAGAAAGATGCAAAAAAGTACAAAATAACAAGTTCTCAAAATTTCCTGGACTTGCATAACAGCACGATTATTATATTTATATTCATTATGTTCTTATGGGATCTGGTCTGCCTTTCATGTTGTAGTACCAAACATTTGATTAATTTGAGGATTTTAGTGTTTCCCATTCCTCAGAGAAAATAACCAGTTTATCTTCCTTTGATTAAACCATAGGGAAGAGACACAAAGATTTTCTTTGTTTGCTTCCCTAAGGTCAGGACTAGGAAAAAGTCCTAAGAGGTACTGGGGTAATTTCCATATTTTAGGGGTTTTAATTTGGCTTTTATGTAGAATAAATGAATTTAAGTAAAAATTAACTTTGGCTATTAATAAATTTGAATAGTTTTCACAATGTAAGTATAATAAAAGCAGATAACTTTTTCTTTTCAGGTGTGTGTTTGTGTGTGTGTTTGTGTTGCTGGGGATGGAACCCAGGAACTTGTATATACTACTAGACAAGTGCTCTACCATTGAGGTACACATCCTCTGCCTTGATTGTTTATCTTTTGACTATCAGCCCCATTATATTTGTTAACATTTTTGAGCATTTGCCTGGGTTTAGGTCACAGCCAAGCACTTTCTGCTTTATTTTGTTATTACATGATAACAGCCCCTGATGAGATGGGGGCTGTAAGCTAGCATACTTTCTAAGTAAGGGAACTTGCAGAGAAGATGGTTACTTAGCTAGTAAGTGGTAGAAGTATAGAACTCAAATCTAGATCTGTTTGATGCCAATGCTTTTCTCTTTCTCTTTGCTTCCCTACCTCTGAGACAGAGTTTCTTCTAGCCCAGGCTACCTAGGGCCCGGAGGGCTTGAACTCCTGATCTTGCTTTTGCCTCTGGAGTGCTAGTGTTGCAGGCCTGTTTGCCACCACCCTGGTCTCCTCCATTCTGTGGGTTGAACCCAAGGCATCCTGCACTCTACCAAATGAGCTACATTGCTAGAGGGTTACATTCATGTTGCAAGAGTGACGGGTGACTAAACCCGCAAACGTTTGTAGTATACAGGTTGAGTATTTTTATCTAAAATGGCTTGAGACCAGAAGTCAGTCCGTGTCTGTCTGCCTCTCTCTCTCTGTCTCTCTGTCTCTGTGTCTATCTCTCTCTCTCTGTGTCTGTCTCTGTTTTTATGTCTTTCATTTTTCTGTCTCTCTCCCTTTCTCTCTCTTTGTCTTTTTCTCTCTAGCTCTGTCTTGTATCTCTGTCTTTCTGTCTCTCTCTGCCTGTCTTTCTGTCTCTCTCTCTCTCTCCTTTTCCCTTCCTCCCTTCCTCTTACTTCCCTCTACCTTTTTCTCTTCATTTTTTGAGATAGGGTTTTGCTTTACAAAGCCTGGAACTTGCTAGGTAGTCTGTGTCGGTCTCAAGCCTACTACAATTCTGTCTCTGGTTCCTAAGTGTTGGGCCACACAGCTCAGATCTCATTTTTTTTTTCTTTCAGATTTTGAAACACTCACAGAGATAGGTTGAATACCCTCAGCCCTGAAATCTGAAGTCTGAGATGTTCCCGGGTCCAAATTTACTTCATTATTGTGTCTGTGCTCAAAAACAGTTTGAGTTTGAAGCATTCTGTTTTTGGATTTTCAGATTCTTAATATTGATCTGATAATCTAAGGTTGGAAAGGTTGCAGTGTCCTATAAGACTGCACATGTTTTGGTCAGAAATAGAAAACAATGAGAGTCAACTAACTGCAGTTTGTTCCGATTCCCACTCCTCAGCGTGAAGACAGTCCTGGTCTGACTGTGAGGAAACATCTGAGTGATTTCTGTGTATCCCAGAAATCCATATCACCTTGTACTCTATAATAATAGTATCCTTTTCCTTTTTTACTGAGCTGCCCCATAGGACCCTAGAGGAGCATTTCCCTCCTTATACAGCATCTGGGAATTTTGTTGTATGGTATGAGCGATTTATAGGCTTCCCTTCTGTGTCATCGTATGTGGGAGAAGCAATTTCTTTTTTTTTTTAATTTGCAGGTGGAATGTGATTGGAAAGGGACTTCACAGGTAGTGGAGAGTATTGGCAAAGACTGTACTTCATACCACATATATGAAATTGGTGGTGACATTGGATAGATAATATTGCCTTCTTTTTCTTTTGGGAACCTGTGTCTTTGTTTGTGTTTCTTTCTCGTTCTCGTCATGATATCTTTGAATAGCTGTAAGTGGAGGAGTGAATAGTTCTTTTTGGAAGTATTATAGTTAGTCAAGGCACCTTATGACTGGTCCTCTCCATTTGTTTCAGTGAGCAGCCTGTCCCGCTCCAAGTATTGTTAAACCAGGAGGCACAGCTGGATCCCTGCCAGGATACAGAGTTTGGGGCCAGTTCTACCTTCTTCCACTCACCTGCTTCCTGCCATGAGTCACCCTCACCCCTCACCCTGGAGTCATCTGTTCCATCTGTTTCACAGCACAGTCCCCCTAGTAGATCTTTGAAGCTTCTGACCTCATTGGAGGTGGACAGCATTAATCCCTCTGCATTCCCCAGGCAGGATTTACCTACAACAGCAGGTAGAATTGAGAGGAATTCTCAGCATGAATGCCTGCCATTGGATGCCCTTGAAGATAAGCTCCAAGGCCACAGGGAGGACATCAACAGCTGCAGCAAATTCCCACCACAAGAAGGGAGAGACATAGTTGGAGATAGGCTGTTCCAAGAAAAGAAGCGCCCTGTTGACATATCCATGGTGATGCCTTGGGCACATTCAACAGCAGAAGCCACTTCTGAGATAGTTACACATAGCCTAAGTAGTCCTTCAGGTTCGTCAGCTCAGCCTAGTATTCCTCCTTACAGAGCCTGCCACCCCATAATGTCTGCTGCTTCTTCACCTGAGCTTCATGTGACTGACCCCATGCAGAAACTTAACCAGCATCTTCAAGCCCAAAGTCTCCAGACTTCATTGACTTCAAAGGTGGTCAGAGGCAGTGAGGAGCCCTATAGGCCAGAGTTTCCCAGTACAAAAGGACTTGTCCGCTCATTGGCAGAGCAGTTCCAGAAGATGCAGAATACCTCCACGAGGGATGTTATAGGTTCCCAGGATCGAAGTTTGCCAAATGGTCTAAGGAAGAACTCTCCTTCTGACTTTATGCCTCCATTACCCCAGGGTCCAGGAAAAGACCACTGTCGCTGGGTAAAACAGCAGCCTTCTCTAGATGGCAGGGAAAGACTGCCCTCCTGGGAAGATGCTGCTGCTGATCATCCTCCTCTTGCCATGGACTCTGGGCTTCCCAATGGAGAAACCGCTGGAAGAGGACAGCCCAGGTTGGCTGAGCCAAATATATACCAAGGAAGGCTATCCCAAGTGACAGATACTAGGCCTAAGGAGCTGGATAGCAGTGTCATATTGGGGACTTCTTTGCCTTTGGATTCCTGGGTAAATGTCACAAGGCTCTGTGATTCTCAGGTTAAACACAGGGGCCCTGGGCCAGGAGTCAAGTCCTCCTCCCATGATTCCCATACATGTGTAACCTACCCAGAGAGAAATCACATCCTTTTGCATCCACACTGGAACCAAGACACAGAGCAGGAGACCTCTGAATTGGAGTCTCTCTACCAAGCCAGTCTTCAGGCCTCTCGAACTGGCTGTTCTGAATGGAGGTTGCAGGATGTGGCTTGGCAGCCTCTTAACCAAACAGGTAAAAATACAAGCAGTGGTGGGGATATATAAAAGCTGAAAGCCCGAGAACAAAATCAAAGGAGGGGTATTGTTCTGTACAGCATCACTGTCTTACTCAGATACAATAAAACTTCTGACTTTCCTCCTACAGCCTCAGGACAAGGGCTAGGCTTTCTTCCCCCTTTCCTTCCTGCCAGAATGGAGATGGGGTCAGAATTATCCCTCAGAGAGTATCCCTTCCTTATAAGGGAATGACCACGTAAGTATTTGCTTGTGGGCTCTCCAGAATGTAGTGTAAAGAAGTAGTTCATAGGTCTCTGAGAGTGAGTTAGCATGAAATGGGGAAGGCTGAAAAGAGTCCTCTTTTTTTGTGTTTTAGATGTTAAATTAATCCAAGAATCAGGCTCCAGGTTCATCTTGAAACAAGGATAGCCACACTAAACCAAGTCTCTGCTATGGCATTTTCCGATTTTTACCAAGCTAGCAATATCAAGACCTTCTCTGGTTCTTCCAGGCACTGCCATGTATGTTCCTTGGAAACTGCATAGACTTAACAGCTGATGTTATGATCTGTTTCTGAGCTGCATTCTAGTGTAGATTTTACAGTAACATTTTCTAAGTACTCTTTAGGTACACAAGACAAGTTAATATGGAAAGATTTTAATGAATGCAGAAAACCTGGAATCTATTCACTGATCTTTCTTCTAATGAAAGAACAAAAGAATACAAAAACATTAAGTTCAAATCAAGTATTTTAAGAATAGTATCATGCCACTGAGATAGTTCAGTGAGAAAAGGCACTTTCTGCACAAGTCTAGCAACTTGAACTTGACTCCCAGAATCCACAGAAAGAATAGTTTCTGCTTCCTGGGCAGTGGTGGCACACCCCTTTAATCTCAGTACTCCAGAGGCAGAGGCAGGTGGATCTCTGTGAGTTCAAAGCCAGCCTGGTCTACAGAGTGAGTTCGAGGACAGCCAGGGCTACACAGAGAAACCGTATCTCAAAACAACAACAATCACAACAAAAACAAAAACAAAAACAAAAAAAACTCAAAAAACCCTTTCTGCTCTTCCAGACTAAGACTACATGGGTTCAGTTTCCAGCACCTACATGTTGGGTCACAACTGATGCCCTGTTCTGGCCTTTGTGAGCACTGCATTCATGTGGTACACAGACATGCATGCAGGTGAAACACTCATACATAAAATAAAAATAAATAAATCTTTAAGAGAAAAAGATGGACATAGAGAACTGACTCTACAAAGTTGTTCTGTGTACCCACATACACATACATCATAGACACACATAAAAGTAAATAAACGAGTATCATCTAAACAAAATTAAACTATTTGAATGTTAAACATATAAAATAAAACAAAACCAGAAAACTTTTATAATACCTAAAATAAAGCCAGACGTGGTGGCAAACACCTTTAATCCCAGTGCTTAGGAGGCAGAGGTAGGCAGATGTCTGTGATTTCTAGGCCAGCTTGTTCTACAGTGAGTTCCAGGACAGCCAGGGCTACATAGTGAGACTCTGTCTCAAAAATAAACAAACAATAAAATCAGTTTACAATAACATTTCTCATTGTAGATAATTCTAAAAATGCATAAACTAGCAATTCTTTTCCCTATGGTTTGTTTTGGATCATAATTCAAGTCCGTTATGATGGGGAATTCAAGACTGGAGGAACTTGAAGCATCAGGTCATCACTTCCACAGTCTAAGACTCCAGCCAGGAAACGGTACCATCCACAGTGGTTCAGTCTTCTCAACTAACACTAACTATTACACTGTTAGGGTATTTTGTTTGTTTGTCAGAATAGTTTATCGAGTGTGTGAGAGCGCCAGGGGGCTGGGCAGTAATTTGAGTACTCCTATAGCCTACTCTACTTTTTTTATAAGTTTACCTTTGACCCTTTTTTTTATTGCAAAACTTTTTCTTGTTTTGAGACTGTAGTCCAGGTTAGTATAGAACTCATAATGTAGCCCAAGCTATCCTCAAATTTATGGGGATCCTCTTGCCTCAGCTTCCCAGAGTATTGGGATTCAAGCAAGTACTATGCCAGCTTACCACAACCAATTTTATTTTGTGTCTGTGTGTATTTTACCTGGACATATGTCTGCACACCATGTGCATACCTGGTCCCTGCATACCAGGAGAGGGCATGAGATCCCCTGGAACTGTAGTCACAGATAGTTATAAGCCACCATGTGGGTGCTGGGAACCTACAACTGCCTACCACAACCAGTTTTAAAGGGTTTTCATCACCTTCCAGAGACGTCTCCTATCCAGCAACAGTTCTGTGCCTCTTGTCCTTGGTCCCTCTCCCTTACTTCAAGGAAATGCAAATGTTTCCTATATACATTGATTTGTTCTGGACATTTCCTATGAGTGAAATCAGTGTTTGGTGTTTTGTGACCTGATTAATCCTGACATATTAGTTTCTGAAAAATTGTATAAGCTCTGCTTTTGTTTTATATTCTAAATTTTGTAGTACCTTCAAGTTGCACAGAAATCATTGTATCTATGTCTATTAAAACATTAAAAGTAGCTTTTGTGAAGAAAATTTCAAGCCAGATGTACTGTTGCACACCTTTAATCTCAGTGCTTGGATGGCAGTAGTGTGTTCCAGGCCAGTCTGGTGTACATAGTGAGTTCCAGTCAGCCAGGCTCACATTGTGAAACTCTTGTTTCAAAAATCAAGAAAAGAAAAACTTAAATGTATTAAAAACAGTAAAAGTGAATGTTATAATTAAACCCCCAAGTATTTTTTACTGGTTTCCAAGGTGATTAACTTGGTACTTTATGAACAAAAGACCAATTTTGATTCAGCCATAACATCTCCACACATAGCTTCCCCTCCTCACAAGATTTTAATTTTTTTACATAAGATCATTATTATAAACTAAAATGTGCCTAGTCACATTGTAGTCATTGTAACATATCAGGCAGTGTATTATTTCTTTCTTAAAGAAAAAAAAAACATTTATGGGGGATTGAGAGATGGCTCAATGGTTCAAAGTATTGGATGCTCTTCAAGAGGACCCAGGTTCAATCCTAGCACCCACATGATGACTCTCAACCATCTGTAACTCCAGTCCCAGGGAATCTGATACCCCCTTCTATTCTCTGGGGGCACCAGGTGTGCATGTGGTGCACAGACATAGATGCAGGCAAAACACCTATGCATAAAATAAGAAGAAATAAGTTTTAAAAAAGGCCTTGACTTTCAATGTTCAATCAAGAGATTTAAGAGATGAAACTATGAAAATCAGAAAAAAAAAAAAAACCCTCAGAGAAAAGCCTTAAGACCTGGATTTGACAACAGTTTCTTAGATATGACACCAAGAAAACAGGCTATAGGAGGAAAAAATAAGATAAACTGCTACATCAGAGTTAAACTTTTGTACATCAAAGGACACTACTAGCCTAGTATGAACCAGTGGTAGAACATGTAGCTAAATAGCATGCACCAGGGCCTGGGTTCATTCTCCAAGACCATGGCAAAATAAAAATTAAAAAAGATGGCCGGGCGGTGGTGGCGCACGCCTTTAATCCCAGCACTCGGGAGGCAGAGCCAGGCGGATCTCTGTGAGTTCGAGGCCAGCCTGGACTACCAAGTGAGTTCCAGGAAAGGCGCAAAGCTACACAGAGAAACCCTGTCTCAAAAAACCAAAAAAAAAAAAAAAAAAAAAAAAAAAAGAATGCTATATGGGACTGGAGAGATGGTTTAGTGGCTTAGAGTACTTGCTGCTCTTACAGAGGATCCAGGTTCAATTCCTAGCACCCACATGGCAGCTCACAACTGTGTAACTCCAGTTCCAGGGGATTCAGTGCCCTCTTTTGGCTTCTGGGACCACTGCATGCAAGTGCTACACAGACACACATGTAGACATAATACTCATACACTTAAAATAATAAAGTAGTGCAAAAAGAAAACTAACACATTTATTTAGTGTGTATATATGTGCGTGTCTTAGCACACAGGTTGTGCTCAGAGGACAACCTGCAGCAGTTGGAATGTATGTCTGTGCACGACATGTGTGCAGTACCTATGGAGGGCAGAAGAGGGACTCATATTCCCTAGAACAGGCTTTATGAATAGTTGTGAATTACTGTATGGGTGCTGGGAATCAAACCCAGGTCCTCTGGAAGCTTAGCCAGTGCTCTTAACTGCTAAACTCTTTCTCCAGCCCTCTATTTCCTTATTTACATTTTTTTGAACTAGTCTCCTGTAGCTCAGAATGGTCTTGAACTTCTTTATCCTCCTCTACCTCATAAGTACTGGGATTACAGTTGTATGTCATCACACCAGGCTACATTTAAAAATTTTTTATTTGTTGGAAGGCCTTTTAAAAACAAAAACTTCCTCTAGGCAGTTGTGGTTTGCCCCTTTAATGCTAGCACTCGGCGGGCAGAGACAGGTAGATCTCTGAGTTCAAGGCTAGCTTGGTCTACAGAGTGAGTTCCAGGACAGCCACGGCTACAGGGAGAAACCCTGTCTTGAAAAACAACAATAACAACATCAAAGCAAAAATTCCCAAGGTTCATCCATAAACATTCTGAGTCAGATCTGTGGTGTCTTGTCTTTGTTCCATGTCCATTCCCACTTTCTACCCACTGAAGATTGAACCTGCCAGAGCTTCATGTATGCAAGTGTTATACAACTGAACTGTAACCCCATTCCCTGAGAAGGTATACTTTTTAAAGCTCCCAGATGAATGAGTACTGTTATAAGAACCAATGCATTAAGTAACAGGAAAGATCCAAAATAATTGATCTTAGGTACTTACATGAACAGTATACTTAAGCCATGTATGTATGTTTGTGTTCATATGCATATTTATCAAAGTACCATATCCAGACATGAATTGGTGGACGCACACGCACGCATGTGCATGTCAAATGTAGGTCAAGGGCAGGTGCATTTTCAGGAGACTTAATTAGTTGGATTGGGGACAGCCCCTTGGGGGGGGTCACATATCAGTTTAGAGCAGTATTAATGGTTGTTTATAATTCAAGTGATTGAGAAAAGCCAAGAGTAGGTGGGAATAAAGAATATCACACATGCCAAATATTCATGAAGTGATCCTGCTCAGAGAGTGGGAGGCCATCAGAAGATAATAGAATACTGTGCTGAACATTGAAAACGTTGAGTTCCAGTTCTGGTTAAAACACTATCAGACTCTGGAACTCATTTCCCTGTTATATCCAAGGAAGCAGGTTTGATTTGCAATGACTATGATCATTTAAATTTTGAACTGAACTAGAGATACTAATTGTTTCCTTTCTTCTTACCATAATACGTTAGAAGATGACTATGTCAGATAGTTTCCTCTATAGACTACACATCTATAGATTTTGAAAAGAAACAACAAAACTGATTTTATTCATAGGAGAAATGTTGAAGGATGGAGGATATTCAGCAGATGGTTTTTAGAGCTGCTTTCTTAGCAATTTCTTTAGTAGTTTTTGGCCGATAGGAATTTATCCATATTCTGAGATTTGCTGTTTATAAATTCAAAGAGCATGCTCCCCATTGGATTCAGAGATGCATATTAATTACTTAGTAAAAGAACTCTGGTGCTTGTGCTTCCAGGCTCAGATTTCAGGCCCCAGAGGAGAAATGGCTTCAGCTTGTTTTTATGTCTTCCTCCTTAGGCTTTGCAGATGGCGTGGGGAGGAGACTGCACTCAGCCCCTGGTCTTGAGCTCTCAAAGACTCCAACAGCAGAGATGGAGCATGCTCTTCATGGACCCAGCACAGCGCCTGTCTCCCAGGTATCAGCCTCTGGTGCTAAGGTGCTGGACATGGGTGCTGTGCTAGAGAAGGCGGCATGCAGAGAGGCTGGTGGAAAGGTGCTGGTGCACAGGCGTGGTGATAGGAGGCTCCAAGGAGAATGCGATCTCAGATCGGCTGCTTTTGAGTGAGAGGAGGCTACCACATGGTGACTGCCTTTGGAATCTGTCTCATTTAGATGTTAATTGAGTCTTAACCAGTTTTTCTCATATCCCTGAGTACAGGAGCTGGGTGAAAAAGATCCACAGGTCTGATGTCTTACATCTGCCTGTGTGTGTCTGTATGTTTGAAGGCTGCAGCTTATAGAGTCCTCAGCAGGGAAGATGGAGAGGCTGCCTCTCACAGTCTAAGTGGCAGCCTTTTCTCAGGAAGGAGGCAACTCAGGTCTCTTCCTAGCTTTGTGGGTGGAGTCGGGATTCATCTGTTCATAGCACCTTCCTCCTCCTTGCTAGTGAAAACACAGTGTAGGTGAAAGAGCAGGGAGAGATTGACAGTTCCCACTGGGGACAGTGATGTACGCTATCCAGAGTCAGGCCATGTAGTCTTTATTTACACACAGATACTCAAAGTCCAGGGGACGGTCCTTCCCTGGAGCAGTTTTGCATGTTTTGCAGCCCTTTTAATGGGATCCTGGTGTGTGAAGAGTTGTGTTAATTTGCTTATCTCTGATGAAATATCTATGGAGACAAGGGAAGAAGGATTTATTTCAACTTGTGATGTTAGAAGTTTCTCTCTGTGATTGATAGTAGCTCCATTGCTTTGGGCCTGAGCCAAGGCACAACATATGTTAGAGAAGGCATGGTGAAGGAGACTGCTTACCTCACTGCAGCCAGGAAGCCGTGATAGTGACAGAAGGGTCCAGGGACAGGAGTACCTTTCAAAGGCACACCTGAAGTGATTTGCTGTCTCCAATTAGTCTGTAGCTTTTTTTTTGTTGTTGTTTTTAAGATAGGATTTCTTGTGTAGCCCTGGCTATCCTGAACTCACTCTAGACCAGGCTGGCCTCGAACTCACAGAGATCTGCCTGCCTCTGCCTTCTGAGGCTGGGATTTAAGGCGTGCGCTTCCATGCCTGGCTCAATCCATATGTTAATAGCACCTTTACCAATGTGTTCATCAGTGAATGAACCACTGATGAAGCTGCCACTCTTACGATCCAGTCACTCCTCAGTGATTGGATCTACAGTTCTGGACCAAGTTTTCAAAATGGGAGTCATGGAAGTCTTGAGAAGACTCTGAGAAGCAAAAGCTGTTGATGGGGTGAGACTCATTGTACTTGTAAAAGGAAGGAGAAAGATGGGGTGAAGTGTTGCTTTGCCTTCCCTACAGCTTAGTGTGTGACTGAGTAAGCAGGGTTCAGTAAGTGTGAAAAGTAAAACATGTATTATCTAAAAGGAAAAAATGCTTACCCTCCCCTCTTTTTGAGACATAAATTTATTTTTATTCTATTTCTCTGTTTTGGTTTCTTCTGAGACAGGGTTTTGCTATGTATATAGCCCTGGCTCTTCTCAGATTCACTATGTAGACCATGCTGGCCTTGAACTTGTGATGCTGTCCTGTCTTCACCTTCAGACCTTGGGGATTACTGTCATTACTGTACCCAAGCAGTAGAGATAAATCAACAAACTCAAATACTCCTTGTTGGCTGAGTTTATAGGTAATCTACTCTTCTGAGACTCTTACATAACTTTTTAAAAACAAGTTGAATTTTCATTACTATAGCTGTCAGATACAAAGCATCCTGCTTTGAAGCTTGTCTACCAGGTCAATTTGATAAAAATATAGAAACATTTTATTTTGTTTATTTTATTATTGTAGTTTTTATTATATACAGGGTCTCATATACCCTGGCTGGTGGACCAGACTGAACTCACAGAGAACTGCCAGCCCCTGCCTCCAGAGTGCTGGAAATGAAAGGCGTGTGCCACTAACTACCTCAAGCTTCCTTTATTTTTTATTTGTAGTACCAGGACTGAACCTAGGGCCTCACATGCTGGGCAACCTCTCTGTTGCCTAACTATACACACTAAACCCCTTAAAATAGGTTTTACATACATGGTACAATTAAAAAGGTTCAGAAGGATATATAGCGCAAGCCGTCTCTATTCTACCAGACCTTCATATCCAATTCCCCTCCCAAAAGAAACTCTAAAGTTTACAAGTGTAAATTCCTAATGAATGAACATTTTCTCCTCCTCCTCCTCCTCCTCTTCCTACTTCTATTCCTCCTCTTTGAGAAAAGGTGGTTTCCCTGGCATAGCATTTGTTCTCACGTATTTCCCATGCATTTAATCTAGGTGTTATTTTCCTAAGGAGTATGCTTTTGTCTGGTGTATGATGCACTTATTTATTGATTTTGTTCATCCTTTTAAAACAATGCTTATTGAACTTATATACTTGATGCTCTGCCGGGCTCTGAAGAGACTGTGGTTAACGAGTGAAACAGTCTCTCATTTCATGGAGCTTTTAGTCTACTACTGAGATAGTGTAAACACCCAAACAAG